AGAGGCACAAAGACTTCCACAGGGTCCACAGACCTGGGTTCTCATCTGATAGTCCTGTCTTCACCTGGTTTCAGTCAGAGCCCAGTATTTTTTTAATTATTTTTTTCACTTATGTGTCTGAACCTGCAGGTCTGGAAATGTGCTCGATGTAAACGTTTAGGTAGAGTGTGCAGTAAAACTAAAACTACAATTAAACTTATTCAATGCTAATAATGCTAACTAAATTCATTGTTAGCATTAGCTCAAAGAAACAAAGACTTGTAATAAACCTGTTAAAGTTGATGAGTCTTGAGTTGCCCAGCGTTAACAAAACCGTCCACGGTGGTTAGACCTGGTCCACCTCTGAAGTGTGGGCAGCTGACGTATCTGGACTGGCAGCGATTTAGCTTCAAACTGAGTTTGTTAGCCAAACACATCTGATCCTCCGTCAGCTGCAGTGGATGTGCCGACCACATCCCTCTGACACACCAGGATGGAATGAGGAAAAATGGGTTGTGGCAAAATCAGGCAGAAATAAAAAAAAAAAAAGAGAGTGCTGAGCTCTTCCTGTCAGTCATGTGACCTGCAGCTTGAGGAACAACAACTGAGGGGGAGCTGTCTGAAACCCATGAACCTCAACTTTAACATCGAATCGCCAGTTGTAGTTAGAAATAACTGAAAATATAACTTTTAAACTTTTAATTTGTTTTGTTTTTTTACTGATTTATCCTTGATTTGGTTCTGGTCCCTGTCACCTGGTCCATTGTGGGCTACACCGTTTGTCTGAATCAGGAATGTTGTAGCTAACGTTATTCTTGTGGCATGCAAACATTAATAATATAAAATACTGCCACCTACTGGACTGGAGAGTGTACATTAGTTAGACTGATGTTCCAGAAATTAGCAAACCTAGACTGATGTGATCAAAGGTGCTATTATTTAGCAAACTATTATCAATAATATGTATCATTATTATTAATAATTATTATTATTATTACTGTATTTTTTTGTCCTAAATCTATCTATCTGATTAAACCATTGGTGTTTGTTTCAAGTTGAACGAGGACCTTCAGGTGTGTGTGTG